TCCTTCCTTCCTTCCTTCCTTCCTTCCTTCCTTCCTTCCTTCCTTCCTTCCTTCCTTCGCTTTCATGTTAGAGATCAATTCCAGGTCCGTGGACGTGCTTGGCAAGCATCTGCCTCTGAGCTATATCCTCAGTCCTTTTTATTTTATTTTGAGTCAGAGTTATACTGAGTAGCTCGGCTTGGCCTCAAACTTGAACTTGTTCTGCCTCAGCTGCCTGAATAGCTATGATCATAACCATGAGCCATCAAGTCCCACTCTTTCAGATCTTCTTAAAAACATATATTCTTCCTAACTTCTACCCAAGATTTAAAAAAAAAAAAAAAGGGCTGGAAATGTAGCTCAGTGGTAAAGCGCTTTTGGGTTCAATCCCCAGTACCCTCCCAAATAAATAAATAATTAAAAAAATACTTCCCCATACCACAATGAAACAAAAACAAACAAAAAAACCCCACTTATCTCCATTTATTTTAGTTTCTGGTTATTTGAAATGCAGTTAAGTGAATATTGTAATGAGTAAGTTGTGAGCAGAGTTGCTCATAAACTCTTTCTCACTGGGGTCTGTTTTAGATCTGGTATCACTCTAAGACATTTGCTCATTGGAGAGGAGGATGTACCATGAAGATTCCAGTTGCCTTGAATACTGTAAGTTATTTTCAGACTATTATTTCTACCTGTGTTGTATTTGTCTGCTCTGATTGCTGTGACAAAATACCACCAACTTGGTGGCTTAAACAGCAGAAATTAATTTCCTCACAATTGTGAAATTTCTATTTCCAGATCAGATGAGAATGCCAGTTGATGCAGTTCCTAATGAGGCACTTCTTTCTGTCTCTCCTTTTTTTAAAAAAATATATTTCTAGTTATAGATGGACCCAGTACCTTTATTTTTGTGTGGTACTGAGGATCCGAGCCAGTGGTTCACATGTGCTAGGCAAGTACTCTACCACTGAGCCCCAGCCCTAACCCCTTCCTGTCTCTTCTTATAAAGACACTGTTCCTATCATATCAGGGCCTCACCACTGTGATCTCATTTTACATAATCATCTCCAAAGAGGTCCTATCTCCAAATATAATCACCTTGGGGACTGGACTTCAACAAATGAATTTTAGGGGGATACTGACCTTCAGTCTATATTGTGTGCCTGTATCATAAAACCAAGAATGTTAGTGTTCTGCATAATAACATATATATATATATATAGAAACAGAAAGTAGATTAGTAAGTAGTTGCTTAGGGCTGGGGCAGGGCAAGGAATTGGGGTATGATGAAGAGTGACTGCTACTTGGTACAGATTTCTTTTTTGGGTATCAGAATATTCTAAAATCAATAGTGGTGAGGGTTGCAAGACCAATATACTGAAGCCTGTTTAACTGTATACTCTAAATGTGAAATATATATGATTATATCAATAATGCTGTTAAAATGTGAAGAAAAATGTCTTAAAATATATATACTCAGATTTCATGGTATGAAATATCAGGGATAAAACCAACTCTTACCCATATGTTTACATTTGTGTGTCTAAGAAAAGTAATACTAAAAACAGAAAATGCAGTGATTATAATGCATGCCATATAGAATGTCCTTCTACAAGACTAAGTTAAAAACATGAATTTTCAGGCATGATCCTGGGCCTCTCAGCCCAAGGGAGTAATATCAGTATGATGTTAGCATCAAAGGGGCCTGCCTATCCAGGCTGTTTTGAGTTTCCAAAGGGAAGTTCCTTCCTGTAGCTAAATCATAAGCACTACCATAGTCCCTGAGTAGAGTGAAGATTGATAAATAGGCAGTGATGTGATTTTTTTTAATTATCAGCAGTGATTTTTTTTTAAAGAATATAATTTCAGGGGCTGGGTGGTGGCTTAGTGATGGAATACTTGCCTTGTACATGTGAGGCACTGGGTTTGATCCTCAGCACCATATAAAAATAAATAAATAAAATAAAGGTATTAAAAACAAAGAAAGTTATTTTGGATATTAACTTTCAGATCTAGAGAAAAACCTTAATAATCATCTACTTAAATACCTTACACTTACAGGTAACTTATCTGTCCAGGATGACAGCTGGATTGTGGGAGAAATGAGACAAGCTCCCAAGTCTGCTGATTCCTCATCTAGAGCCCATTCCACTTTAACTTAACACTGTGCTCTTAAAAACAAACAAACAAGCCAAAAAAAAAAAAAATGAAGAAAAACAGAACAGAGAGATTGTCCAATTAGAGAGGGAGATGTGGGGAGGAATAAGATGTTCTTTACTTCTTGTTGCCTACTGCGAATTAGGTATGGGGGACATTTTAACTACTTCATCCTCACTATCAACTTCATATATGTTCTTCTACTCTTCTCCTTGCTAACACTTTACCACAGCAAAGTACAAGTCCTCATGTGATTCTTACCAGGCTTTCCTTGCCAAGTGGCATTCCAGAAGATTGAGAGCTGAGGGCCATGCCCACATGATGTTGTTAGAGTCACTTAAATTACCCTTGATGATATGTATGAGAAAAGCAGTTTGGGGGGGGGGTTGCTTTTTTGGTGGTGGTTGAGGGTTTTTTTTCTTTTTTGGGGGGCGGGGGCGGTACTGGGGATTGAACCCAGAGGTACTTTATCACTGAGCCACATGCTCAGCCCTTTTTATTTTTTTGAATAGGGTCTCCCTAAATTGGTGAGGGCCTTGCTCAGATGCTGAGGCTGGCCTCGGGCTTGTAATCCTCCTGCCTCAGCCTCCTGGGCCTCTGGGATTACAGGTATGCACCACCATGCCCAGCTATAACAGAAGCAGTTTCACAAATCCACCCTCAGAATTAAGTCAGTCATTCTGGTGATCCAGAGAAACAGAGAGCAAAAAGTATTCTGGTGCAGTGATAAAGAGCAAAAGTCATCTCCCAAACCAAGAAATACTTTACATATACATACATACACCACTTAGAAAAATTAAGTCTTTAGCAAGGCTCTAGAATTAAACATGTTTATTATAATTTATGAGAATGTTAAACTACAACATAGGAAAGGCCAGTTATAGAGTGTGCAAAATAAAATTCATCATTTAAAAGAAAAAACAGTAGCTGGACATGTTAGTGCACACCTGTAATCCTAGCTACATAGGAGGCTGAATCACAGGTTCCAGGCCAGCCTGGACAACTTAACAAGACTGTCCCACAAAGGGCTAAGGATGAAGCTCAGTGGTAGAGCACTTGCCTTCATATGCAGGACCATGGATTCAGTTCCCAATCTGCAAAGAAAACAAGAAAAGAAAAAGAAAAAGCAGCAAAAACAAGTATATGTGATAAATTAATGAAGGGTAGTCAGCTTCCCTAGTAATTGGAAAGTGAACCATTTTTTTGTTGTTGTGCTCTTTCCTTTTAATGCCAGGATCCCCAAATATACTACCTCTGTGCCCACAAATTTATCTTGCCCTAGAGTCTATACTTGTAAAGAGTGGAATCTTATATAATGAAATATTTTTAAATTCTACTTTGAAATTTCTTTATACAAATACTTTTATTTTATCTTTACTTCTTGTTGCCTAATTCGCAGTAGGCAACAAGAAGTAAAGAACATATTTATACAAATACCTTTCCTGATATTGTTGCTCTGCTGTAGATACCAGTATTTCAACGCGGTGGAAGTGTGGTACCAATAAAGACAACTATAGGAAAATCCACAGGCTGGATGACTAATTCCTCATTTGGACTCCGGGTTGCTGTCAGCACTGAGGTATTTGGGAAAACAGGTTATACTTTTTATTACTTCTGTGTCTCTTTATAGTCTTTCAAAAAGTCTGATAGCATGAAAAAGTGGTGAGCCCCACCTATGGAGATAGGTACTTCTAGTGTTTATCTAGAAATCAAAGTTTTAAATAATTTCTGAATTATTGCCTAGTTAGTCTGCCGTTCTTGGAATTGTCTTAAAAGAACTTGGGGAAAGAGGAAAATGTCTTTCTTGAACAGTTGACTGTTGGTTCTTTTTAGCTGAGCAGTGATTACTGCTGGGCTAAAAGCTCATTAGATCATAGGCTGTGTATTAGCTCTGAAACTCATTCTCTCACAGAAGGGTACCTGTGACTATGGACCATTTCAGGGATCCCAACCCCACTAAATGACTTCTCATCAGGTAACTCAAACAACTGAAATCTCCCTGAGTAAAGCCTGGTAGGATCGAGATCTGATTTGTCCTTTTGAGAAGATCTTTTAAGCCATATGAAACCTGTATCAGACTTCTCTCCTGGCCATGTGCCAAAATATAGGGCCAAATATAAATTTTTACTCGTATTATAATAATACTTACCCTTATTTATATTAGCATTGTAAAATAATTAAGTTATAGCTTTCTTTTCTGTTTCATTTAGGCATGTCTTTGTGGGCCAAACTAGGGATTTGGGACCCATGTGAAATCCCAGAATAAATGCAAAATACTAGAGATCCATTGCACATCAAGTATTGCCAATAATCTTAATCTGCCATATGGAGTGCTATGACATTGTATGATATGCAAAGGGGCCCTTCTGCCGAAAAGAGTAGGCACCAGATACCTTTCTCGAAATGCAAGATCTAGAGATAGCTGATCCTCATCCATTATATTCTGATTTTTTTTTTTAACATCAGTTTCATTCTGTGAACCTTCTTGACCTTGTTGTCACATTCTGGGATAGTGTTTTCAGGGATGCCCCTGACCATACTTCATAGTTTAAATTTCTTCCAACAAGGTTTAATTCTTCGTGCACCTCTTATGTGACTTCTCTATTCATATTGTTTCATTATCTATTTGAGAGTGATTGGGTATTGACTATATTAGATATTTGTATGACTACTTTGTGCAGCTTAAATATTGCTAGTTAACTTTCTACGCTAAAACAAATACCTGAGATAATTAACTTATAAAAATAAAAGGGTTATTTTAGCTCACTTTTGGAAAATATTTCAGTTGGCCTCATTGCTTTTGGGCCTGGGTGAGGTAGCACATCATGATGGGGAGTACATGGCAGAGCAGAGCCACCCAGGGGTCCCCACAGTCTCCTTCAAAAGGCACAATCCCAATGATCTGAAGACCACCACTATATCCCACTTCTTAAATGTTCCTGTGCCTCTCAATAACACCATGGGCTGAGGACCAACACATGGGACTTTGGGGACATTCCATATTCAAACTGTAGCAATTCTAAGTTTTTGTTTGACGTAAGTTTTCACATTTTCAAAATTATGTCCCTTTGGAAGCTGACAAATTTCCTATTACATAAAACATGTTCCCTGATTCACTTAACAGGGTTCTGCAGTTGGGGAGTTATATCTCGACGATGGCCATTCATTTCAGTATCTCCACCAGAACCAATTCTTGCACAGAAAATTTTCATTCTGTTCCAGTGTTTTGATCAACAGGTAATAGCAGCTAAAGAAGCTGTGTGTTTTTTTTTAAATAACTTATACTATATTTAGGCATCCTCAAATAAATGCATTGCTGTTTTCGGTTATTATTTAAAGAAATGAATTGGGACATTTTTCAGTTACTCTTCCATTAGTGTTCCTTTTTTAATGTTCATTTCATTCCCCACTACCTAAAAACTAAAAAAAAGTGCAATTTGGGCTTTTATAATTCCTTCCACCAACTCATTAAGTGCCTGATTTCTTATAATTTGTTACAATATCCCAGTTACATTTGTGATTTTTGTGTACTTCTGTGATTTTCTCAAATGGTGTTAAAGGGAGATTGATTTGGCCAGTGGTTTGTTAGTCCTTGGCATAGAGTCATCTTTTTTTATCTCTTCATCATAGTCAATATGACCCTGAATGAATCATGACTCCATAGGGACAGATGGAAGGGAACTCATAAGAGATTTTGACCTGTGACTAATTCAAATCCCCATCCTTCTTCTCCTAAATCCATTTATATCTATTCCAGTTGTGCAGATGAGAGGGGTCGTTATCTCAGCAAATGTGTGGTAGAGCAGATCTTGTTCTTAGGCCTCAAGAAGAAGCCATCTTCTGTGACTACCCACTCATCTGGTGAGGAAACAGTTCGTTCTTACCTCAGCATTTGTTTTTGTAAACATGAAAGTATCTGCCATGAGGAAATGCTTAGTTTCTAAACTAACATGAGTCTAGCTCAAATGGACTCTGCACTTACTGGTGGAGGTCAAGTATTCTAGTCTCTATAGTGAGTAAGACCATTCTGGTCTTTCTTCTTGCTTCCTGCCTTATTTTTTCTAAGGGAAATTGTTTGGGGCTTGACTTAGTAGTTTAGGTATTTCTGAATGCTTTTTTAATCTGTAGATATCTGGGGGCTGGAGCTGGAGCACAGTGGTAGAGCACTTGCCTAGCAAATGTGAGGCACTGGGTTTGACCTACAGCACCACATAAAAATAAATAAAATAAAGGTATTATATCCATCTACAACTAAAAAGCAAATTTTAAAAAATCTAGATATCTGAAGCCTTGGTGAATCCTGCCCATGTTGATGGAGTTTATGGAGGGGCATAGGATGGGAATTATATCCTTCCTTACCTACTGAATTTCTTGGGCACATCACTTTGTAAAACTGTCTTTTCAACCAGGGCTGTATTCAAAACAATGAAGGCTTTTCATGGTTTAAAAAAAATCATAGAAATTCATGAGTAAAAGTGCTATTAGGGGGCTGGGGATGTGGCTCAAGCGGTAACGCACTCGCCTGGCATGCGCGGTGTGCTGGGTTCGATCCTCAGCACCACATAAAAATAAAATAAAGATGTTGTGTCCACTGAAAACTGAAAAATAAATATTTAAAAAATTCTCTCTCTCTCTCTCTCTCTCTCTCTCTCTCTCCTCTCTCTCTCTCTGTCTTAAAAAAAAAAGTGCTATTAGGGCTGGGGTTGTGGCTCAGTGGTAGAGTGCTCACCTAGCACATGTAAGGCATTGGGTTCGATCCTCAGCACCACATATAAATAAATTAAATAAAGGTATTATATCTACCTATAACTAAAAAAAATTAAGTGCTATTAAATTAGATTTTCAGACGAGATATGTAGCTCAGGGTAGAGAGCTTGCCTGGCAAGGTTGCCTGCAAGGCCCTAGATACTGTCCCCAGCACCACACATACACATACACAAAAATAAGATTCTTCTAAGCAAGTTTTTATGATAGAGTCAGAAAATATGTCAGATTTGAAGAATATATTTTTCCCTCCGAAGTATATGTCAAACTTTTCCTCTTTTTTTTTTTTTGTCTTGCTATGTAGATGGTAAAGATCAGCCTGTGGCTTTTATGTATTGTGCCAAAACGTCCACCCTGAACCTGGAGAAGCTTTCACTGAATATTGGCTGTGACTGGGAGGTCCACATCAAATGACAAAGAAGCTCCCCTGGTGTTGCTCAGAAGGAGCTGCCTGCATCTTTTCAGTTCTTCCCTTGGCCTCTTTTAAGATTTGTGCTGCAATCTAATTGGTTTCCTTAGCTAAAAATAATCTTGCATTAGTCACTTATATACTAATGGACAATAGATTTCATATTTTAAGATGATTAATGATTGAGACTCTTTTTACAAATACGACTCTTCCTACATACCCACAAAGCCCTGAGACATTGATAGAGTTGGTGAATTTTCCTTGCCTCTTGGACTATGGCCCTGTGGTAAGCTCTGTGGGCCAGTGAGTGGCCTCTTTTTGAGCAGGACTGGATGGATTTTTAGGTATGCCAAGCCTACCCAAGTGGCCCATTTATTGGGCTTGCCTCAGGCCAATGTGGCAGATTCACTCTGGCTACAGCAGGGAAGTTGCCCAATCTCCAAATGGACAATAGTGTCTGATGCCACAGTTATCATTTGCCTACATTGACATGGTTAAGATAACCCTCTCTGTGCATATTGCATACCCTACAACAGTGGGGACCTGTTCTGCCCTAGAGATTTACTCAGGAGCACAAAGGATTATTTTCCCTTTCCTGCTTCTCAGGCTCAAAAGTTCTAAATTAATCTTCTTAAAATTTAAATTATTTGATTGTTTTTATTAAATACTGTCTACTTGCCTAAGGATATTGATAATATGAGTAAGCTGTAAAAAAAATGAGTAAGCTCTAATTAATAATAATGCAATAAATACCCATGTCCTCACCACTGAACTTCAAAAATAGAGAACAAGGCTGGGAATAGGAGAAGGCAAGTGAGGCACTTGCTTCAGGCATGATAAGAAGTATTTTAATGTACTATTTTTAAAAATTGTAATTATTGTAAAAGTCATGCTGAACAAAACATCAAAATCTTTTATAAAGACAGCCTCAGGATTATTGAGTTTTCTTTTGCTTCAGGCTCCAATATAGCTTGGCATGGAATAGAACATTACAACATACCAGTTGGATCACAATGATCTCTGCTCTGGAGACCCCAATAATTTTCCTTTGCCTACCACAGCATCTGTTGGAACAGCCTCAACTCCTCAGTACTCTCAGCATGCACACTTTCTTATCAGTCTTCCTCCACTTAGCTACTTAAAATGTCACCTCTGTGCCTTCCCCTCCCTGAGCTGCAGCATCCTCCCTCCACCCAGACAAATCTTACCACCCTTTCAGACCCAATTCAAATCTCACTTTTCCACACACTGTAACCACCCTAGCACCCCAACTATTCAGTGCCCATTAGTAGTGATTTTGCCATTCTCTGAAATGCTGTCCCACATATAATTGTGGTGTATTATGCATTCTCAGGGATTGTACCATAATGTCTCAAGTATGTCTGTCTTTTCTTGATAGATTCTGTGTTCCTTAAAAGCATGTTATATTTCTCTTATATCTGCTAGAGCACCTTTACACTTGACTTTCAGTAACTGTTGGCTGTGATTGGTTAACTGATAGATTATATTGATTAAAAAGTGAATATAGGAGACTGGGGTTGTAGCTCAGTGGTAGAGTGCTTGCCTCACACGCATGAGGCCCTGGGTTCAATCCTCAGCACCACATAAAAAATAAACAAATAAAAATAAAGATATTGTATCCATCTACAACTAAAAAAATTTTTTTAAGTGAGGATAGCATGTATTTATTTCTAATTTTATTTTTCTGACATAGGAATCTGCCCAAATGCAGTAAACATTGTACATTTCTGATGGTCACATTTAATTGTATGAGCTGAGGTTTGAATTTTGCACCAAATGAAAGCTGACATAGCTACATGTGTATCCTTTGCTCCTATTTGTGTATATTTTGCAATTAAGGAAAAAAGAAGACTCCTAAATTAACTGAAGTCATAAATACTAGCTTCAGTTTTCCCTTGCCAACCTAAAATAAAACATAGCCTGAAAACCAATGCTCTTTCCTAATATAAATGATGGGGTTTTATTGTTGTTATTGTTATTTTTATTAATGATGGGGGTTTTGTTGTTGCTGTTTGTGGTGCCAGATATTGAACCCATATCCTTAAACATGCTTGGCAAGTGTTTTACTATCAAGCTATATCCCCAGGCCTAAATAATGGTTTTTAATAGCAATTAAAGTTTAATAATTAAGACCTATCTTTAGACAAATATTTATTTCATGTCTGTTATTCCATTAAAATATCTTTGGAGGAAGAAAGAAAACAGGAACTATTAAAGTTAGTGAGGAAATGCTCTGTCTTGACCCAAATCTATACTGAAACATTTTACAACAGAGAAATATTGTCTGGTGTTTTTGTTTTCTGCTCTTATTGCTTCTCATACTTTACCTGCCTTCTATGTGGAACGCTATATACCAGAGATCCATGTGCAGCTGAGTTGACCTACCAATATTCAGTTATCTTGTGGCTAATTCTTGATATGTTTTCACAGGAAACAGGATTTTATGTGAGAAAGTTAAATTGTTTCAACAAATATTGTAGCAAAGCTCAAATGAATCCATAATTTATCTGTCCTTCAAGACTTAAAAGCCAAGCAATAAATTGATAAATTCACTTAAAAACAGAAAGTATCCAACAGGAAAGTGGGCAAAGATAAACACAAAAGAAACTAAACAGACAAAATAAGCATATTTAAGATGCTCAGCCTTATTAATAATCAAATAAATTATTTTTTGCCTGATTGGCCAAGATTAAAAAGAATGAAAGCTGGGTGCCGTGGCACCCACCTGTAATCCCAGTGGCTTGAGAGGTTAAATCAGGAAGATCTCAAGTTCAAAGCTAGTCTCAGCAATTTAGCAAGGCCCGAAGCAACTTATTGAGATCCTGTCGCAAAATAAAAAGGCCTGTAGATGTGGCTCAATGGTTAAGTGCCCCTGGGATCAATCCCCAGTTCCAAAAAAAAGAATGAAAATGTCTGGTTCTGATGGGAGTGTGGGAAATAGGCACTCTTGTGCATCATTGACAAAATTATAAATAAGTATCATCTTTCAGGATTGCAGCAGTATCAAAATTGTAAATTTGCATACTATAGCCTAGAAGTTCCACTTCAGATAAATGGTCAGAGCTACTAACTGCAATGTGGTCTATACCATAGAAAATTGGAAATAAATGTAACATCCCTCCTTTAATAGATGATTTGCCAAATATAGTACCTCCATGTAGTGGAATATTATGCAACCATTAAAGATTAATCTACATGTATCAACAGAAATGTTTTGATAAAATATTTACTGAGTAATTTAATTTAAGAAAAGTTATAACAAAATAAACTCAAATTCAAAAAACATATACTCTCCAAAACATGAAGGCCACACAAAAACACAGGTGGGAATGGTTCCAGATTGAAGGAGACTAAAGAGACATGACCCTAGTTGTGATCCTGAATTGGATTCTGGACCTATAAAGAACATTATTGGGACAGTTTGGCAACATTTTGAATGGAATCTTTTGATTGCATGGTAATTGTCCTGGTTGTGCTATGATTACATAGAAGAATTCCCTTGGGTTTAGGGAAAACAACGGAATTCAGTCTGCAGGATTCCTTCACTTTCACTTTCATATCTCCTTCAATATCAGTAAATCATAATGATAGGCAGCAGAAGCAATCAAAACACAAATATCTGGAGGGTATTTATTTATTTTATTTATATGGTTCTGGGGATCAAAACCAGGGCCTTACACATGCTAGGCAACTGAGCTATATCCCATCCCCTAGAGCTATATGTTTTTTTGTTTTGGTGGGGGGAGGGCGGGGTACATTGTACCGAGATCAAACTCAGGGGCACTCAATCACTGAGCCACATCCCCAGCCCTATTTTATATTTTATTTAGAGACGGGGTCTCACTGAGTTGCTTAGCACCTCGCAGTTGCTGAGGCTGGCTTTGAACTTGTGATCCTCCTGCCTCAGCCTCCTAAGCCACTGGGATTACAGGCACGCACCACTATGCCCAGCTAGAGCTATATGGTTTTTAGTTCATAGTTAACCACACGTAAAAACCTTCTGGGTAATGAGATTCCTATGATAATATCAAGTATTCCACTCTGATTTTTAGATTTTCACTTACTAAAACCTTCAAATGGTTAGCAAAATTCCAGAAGGCACTTTAACTAAAATAACTTCTCAGCCTGGTGGACGTGGGGTAGGAAGCTATCAGTAGCAACACTGGAAACAGACTACCAAATTAGCCACAAACAATGGAATACAGCATTCTAGGAGAAATACAGATAAGGAGACATTGGCACCTGATATCTGATCTGCTCGTTTTATAACCTTCCTTGCTAAAGGTTGCAGTGCTGTGGCAAGTCACACAGAGTTGGGCAACTGTTTCTTGACAGTTGTTTCCAGCAGTGCTGATGGTATTGATTCCTCCCTAATTAAGGAAGGAAGCCATGACTAAGTGAGGATCTGGAGATCTTATACCTAATTCCATTAATGAAGTCTCGGTCATGCATTTGCTTCTTCATTGCAAGTCAGGGGACCTAGGGTTTGGTTCTACAATAAGCAGGAGCACTCAATCACTGAGTCACATCCCCAGCACTATTTTATATTTTATTTAGAGGTGGGGTCTCGCTGATCCTGACCATGCCATCAAGCCTCTCTGGGCTTTGGTTTCCTTATTTGTTAAATAAAATAGATAATCTATTTATATTCTGTGAGTTTTCAGTGATTTAACTAAAAATACAACAAATTTGTCTTAAGTGGGGTTAATCAAACCTACAGAGTTATTCTACAGGTTAAAAATACTCTATGGGGCTGTGGCTGTGGCTCAGTGGCAGAGTGCTTGCCTAGCATGTGTGAAGCACTGGGTTCAATTCTCAGCACCACATATAAATAAATGAATAAAATAAAGGTTCATCAACATCTAAAAAGTATTTTAAAAAATAGAAAATAAATAAAATAAAAATACTCTATGGATATAAAAAAGGAAAGATGGAGAAACCTGGGTAGCCCCCACTTAGCCAAGTGATCAAAGTTTGAATCACCTCTAATAAAACAATATCAAGTACCCCAAAATATGATTTGAGAAGTGTACGTCACATTTGTGATAGTCTTTCTTCAAATCCACAACCTCAATCTAAATCATGTGAAAAACATCATACAAACCCAAGTTGAGGACATTTTACAAAATACCTGACAAATACTGTTCAAATGTATCAAGGTCATGAGAGACCAAAACTCCAATTGTCAGATTGGTGATCACTAAAGGAGTTCTATCTTTGCAATCCTTATTTAAGATATATATATATATATATATATATATATATGAATGATAAGTATTATAAACAAATATGTTGCTTATAATAGTGTTGAATCAAAGAAATGCTTGGGCGGTTTTTTGGCAGAAAAGACAGGGATAGGAGCCATTAGCCATCACTATTGTGCAGGGGAAATCATTCCTGCCACAGTTATCATGAAACCTTGAATGAGATACATTATTAAAACTAGTTCCTTGCCAGGCAAGGTGGCACATACCTGTAATCCCAGTGATTTGGAGGGCTGAAGCAAAAAGATCACAAGTTTTGAGTTCAGCCTCATCAAGTTAGCAAGGCTCTAAGCAACTTAGACCTTGTTTCAAAATAATATGCGATGTAGCTTAATGGCAAAGTACTCCTGTGTTCAATCCCCAGTGCAAAAAGGAGGGAAATAGTTTTTTATCCTTAAAGAGTTTTCTGGGTGTTGAAATATACAGCTGTTTATATGCTCATTATCTGCCTTTTGTTCCTGGGCTCAGATTGGATTCCTCCATAATAGCATGAGTTTCCACAGTTGTGCAGCTGAATAAAGTTTGGCCTATACATCTAAAAGAACATTTTACCCACAACAACTGATAAAGAAAAATGAATAGCACCTTGCCCTCTATGTGCTGGATATTCCCACCCTGCTCTGACAAGAGGCTTACCCTGTCACATGCTCATTCTAGTTACTAACAGATGCAGCTGGCTTAAACAGCTGAAGAAAGAAAGTTCAGCAAGTGTGTGGCCCAGAAAAGCTCCTCTCAAATCAGCCAAGAGACTGTGATTGCATTGGCAGACCTTATGTACAAGAAATTTCTGCACTCACAGAGAAATTCATGCAGCAGATATATAACATACATTTATTAAGGGCCTTCTATATACTTAATCCTGAGGGTGGAATGGGAACCTAGTCCCATCTTCATAGTCTTGTGGGCAATCAGGAAGTTAAATAGCTAAAACAATAAAACGTGGGTCAGTGCTGTGAATTTCAGCACTGGGGTGAGGCCAAAGTAACGATGGTGGGGAAAGGAAACTCCACCCTTGCTTTCTGGGCCTTGGTAAAATTGAGGGTGAACATCAATATTTTTAGGGGTGGTTTTAGCACATGTGGATAGGCAAGCCTCTGATTGGAGACACCACCACACAAGCCTGGGCAGATTGCACCTAGATTCCTGTGCTGTGTACAGGGAAGATGTTCAGTAAATGCTCATGGAGTGAATGCGGATTTGCATCAATGAAAGATATGGTTCAAATACATGTTCACCAAAGGTCCGTGTATTAAAGTCTTGTTCCCCAGGGTGGCCCTACTGAGAGGTGGTAGAATCTTTAGGAGGTAGGGCCTAGTGGGAGGTCCTTAGGTTATTGGGTATGAATCCTTGAAGGGGATTGTGGGACATTCGCCCATTCCTTTTCCTCTTTTGCCTCCTAGCCAGGAGGTGAGCAATTTTGCTCTGCCACAGATTCCTGCTAGGATGTGCTGCCTCGCCACAGGCCCCCAAAAATTGGACCAATTGATCATGAGCTGGAATCTCCAAAACTGTGAACCAAAATAAACTTTTTTCTCTTAATTATCTCACGTATTTTATTATAGTGACAGAAAACTGACTAACATAATGAGTGAAGGTGTCACAACAACTGATAAAGAAAAATGAATAGCACCTTGCCCTCTATATGCTGGCTCAACCCCAAAGAAATACTAAATTAAGCTCTTCTCTAAGATCATCATTTATTGAGTGCTTAAAACAATCCTGGTATTATTTTTTTCATTTTTTTTAACTTTATTTTATTTATTTATTTTTATGTGGTGCTGAGGATCAAACCCAGGGCCTTGCATGTGTGAGGCGAGTGCTCTACCACTGAGCCATACCCCAGCCCCTTGATATTATTTTAAATGCATGACATGAATTAACCTGTTTAATACTTAAAGGAATGACTATCATACCCATTTTTTATATTTTTTAGTTAGATGAACACAGTACCTTTATTTATTTTTATGTGGTACTGAGGATCAAACTTAGTGCCTCAATGTGCTAGGCAAGTGCTCTACCACTGAGCTACAACCCCACTCCTATCATACCCATTTTTTAGGTGAGAAATTTGACATGTAAGATAAAGGAAGAGGTAACTCAAAGTTTATAGGCACAGCCACTAAGTGGCCAACGCGGACTTTGAATCTGGACAGTCAGCCTCCAGAGACTGTTCTAACTCTATTCTGCCTCCCAAAGAGTAGTAAAGATCCATGGGCATTTTATGGAGGGACAGAAGGATAGGCTAATGGCCCCTATAGTGCTTGACACAGGGCTTCTCAAAGCTATAACCCAGGCTCAGGGATAATGAGCCAACTTTCACTTCCCACCTTCCAAAGCTTCTACTTTTGCATTATTGAGACTGGTCACAGAGGAACAGGCATAGCTGCAGTCTGGGACAAGTCCCCACTGGGCCAGACTTGGGATGTAGCCATCTCCTTTCAGCCTAGAGAGCAACTATCATGGGTAGAAGACAGAGTGAAGGCGAGGCAGGCAATTCCCTTCCCATGCACTTACACTCTCATCTAGGAGCCCTGAAACCAGCTCCTTGGATATGACATCCCAGGACTTGATGGCCGACCTGGCTTAGTATCTATTTTTGTCTGAAAAGCCTAACGTGACATGGCTGAATAGTCACTATAATCTACTCAGAAGCACTTTTTGTAGCAGATTTGATCCCACTGTTTACTTTGGGGATGGGTAGACAAGAGACGCCTGAGTAAAGTGGGCAAGAAGAGACAGGGATTTCCTCAACTGAGGACTCTGCTGAGTGGCATTTTCTATCTAGACAGTTCTACTCAGCGCTGACACCAGAACATTCTAGAAGAGATGCCAAATCCAATACTGAATAATGTTCTGATATCCTAGAGTTTTAGGAACTAAAAATCATGTTCTCTAACGTGCACAGAATATTCCCCTAGAATTCAGTATCTCACATTCTAGCTAGTTTTTTACTGTTTTCCATTGATTTGTGGCCAATTGTTTGATAGTCTGATAACTGTTCAATAACAATGCATAAGCAGCTCTTTGCTGATTTTCAATGTTCATCTCACTCAGATATTCTCCTTTCATTTTCTGACAACACCAGCACTTAATGCAACTCAAAATCTCTCTAACCAGGATCTTCTCCCTTTACGATGCAGTCCAGCACTAGCCTGTTTCATACTCACCATCTTTCTTCACATCTATTTTTAGTTTTCCTGGCTCAAGCTTCTTCAGGCCACTGAAATACAACCCTCATTCTCTTTCTCTCCCTCTGGCATGCATGCTGCTGGTAGGAGCCCCCAGGTAAAAATTGCTCAGAACTCCTTTAATATTTCTTCCTCAGGAAAATTTATGGTTTCAGGATCACAGCTCAGTTTTTTAAGCTGGACCTAAGCCAGGTGAACTTCTGATGGATCTTAAACTTCGAATTGGATGTGGACATTTTTCTCTCAGATGACAGGATCACTCCATGTTCCCCTTTGCGGTTGCTTCCTTTCTCTGAAGGTAGCTATCTCTTGTTTTCTTTAAAAAGCTCTACCTTTCAAAGTTGCCTGCCATGCCGACTGTCATTAGTCCAACTGTAGCCCAACGGACAGGGGCCAAGCCCAGGTCCCCAGGGCCTATTCCCCACCCGGCCCAGGGCAAGACCACGGAGGCCGGGGGTGGACACCCAAGTGGTATCTATTCAGCTATCATCAGCCGCAATTTTCCTATTATTGGAGTGAAAGAGAAGACATTTGAACAGCTTCACAAGAAATGTCTAGAGAAGAAAGTTCTTTTTCTGGATCCTGAGTTCCCACCAGATGAGACCTCTCTCTTTTATAGCCAGAAGTTCCCCATCCAGTTCATCTGGAAGAGACCTCCGGTGAGTAGCTAACTGGTTGCTGGTCTGGGTTTTTCCCTCAGTGAAGTCCTCCCACTCCGCACCTCCTGCAGCTCAGCTATGCACATGGGCACTGGGGGAAGGATCCTGGCAGCAGCTCTGCTGGGCTCTGCCCTCATGTGTGAAGCAGGGACAAGTCTTAGATAATTTGCCAAACTGAGAGTGGGAGGCAGAGCTGCTGCTTGTTCTCTCTCTCTCTCTTTCTCTCTCTCTCTCTCTCTCTCTCTCTCTCTCATTTTCTCTCACTCTGAAAAAAAAAAAATCTTGCTTTTTATGAAAGTGATTGGAACTCGGTTTAATTCATCCTGTAAAAATAAACCTCCCTTATCCAGGATAAATTCCACACAACCCAGATCTACTTTCTCTGTTTAAATAACTTTGTAAAATTCCTTCCTCTTCTTGGGCTAAAATCATGATATTGTGGTTCTTCATTTTTGCCAGTAGCCATGAACTTCTGAAACACAGAAGCCTTAAAAAGAGGAGAGTGGCAGACAACTTTTCAAGTATGAAATGTTAGCATTAGAAGATTCTAAACATCATTTTTGTCGTTATATTTCACCTCTCAAATGAGGATATCAAGGCATACAGAGGGAAGTCTACCCAGTGAGCACATGACAGAACCTGGATAAAAACACCTACTCCCTTAGGGCATGCTTCCAGCCTCTGGGTTTCATTTACAGTGATCTACCAGGAGGAAAATTATGTTCCCCTGGCTCCCTTCTCTGATCATTCCTCCAGTATGACTCTTGTTCATAATTCAAGAAACATTTTGATCAAGAAGTATTCCCCGCCAACAAAAAGGAGAAATATTTATTGAGTATCTACTAGTGCTGGCCACTGGGCAAACTAGGGAGACATCAGTGAATAAGAAAGACAAAAATTTATTCTTTTCTGGAGCCTAAAGTCCTCAGGGGAAGGTGGGCATTGAATGATAGTGACTGTCTCGTTGACTGTCAGGAATCAGTGTTCAGGGTAGTAAGGGATCAGGTGGCAAGGAGCTAACTCAGTCTAGGAAGAGAAACCCTCCATGAGGAAATGGTAACACCAATGCCATTGGCTGAACCCCAATGCCATTCTTTTACCATGTTTTTCTTTATGAACCTGAGCTGAACTACCCAACAACCCTGTGTATGCCACAGGACTCCTTTCCTCTCCTGACAGTCCTTCCCTAAGGCCCTTGACTGTCCTGAGGGCCCTTGCTTTAGAAAAGATCTTCATCCCCCCACACACACACACTCGTCCCTGCTGCCAGTGCTTGGACATGTCACATCCCTGCTGAAATATCTTCACTGACATGCCCCCCACTGCCTTCAGGATAAGTCCAAACTTCTTAACTGAGATGTCAGCCCTTCTCAAGATGGCCCTGCCCACTGCCAGACTTTGCGCCCCCAGGACCCTGACACACCAGCAGAGCTAAATGTCCTGCTGCTCCATTGCCCCAGGTCTTCTCACCCAAGAGGCCTTCATTCATGCTGTTCTCTGCCTAGAATTCCATTCTTGTTGTTATCTGGATAGTTTCTCCTCCCTTTCTCTCCAAAACTTCAGGGGTGACTTTCTCCTTTCGTCCCTTCTTGCTAAGAGCAGAAGCCTTTCCTGTTCATCTTTAGACCCCTTAATCAGCACAGACCAGGCCCACAGTTGTACACAGCTGAAACTGGTGAATGAAAACCCACAACTGAAGGTATAGGTTACCAAGACATAGGACAGCCCTGATTTCCAAGGCCTGGAGCTCCTAAAAGCCTTTTCTGATACCATTGCAAAGGACAGGGGACCAAAACCTACAAATAGATTTTTACTGGTCACTGGTAGACTTGAGCCTTAAAAGAATTGCAAATTAATAAAAATGTTTAAAGGGTCTCTTATATTCTAGGCACTACATTGGTCCTGAAACTTCCCCTGTTGGGGTCAGTGTGTGAAATGATGTGCATTAAGAGACCTGGCTGTTTCAGGGTGTGCTCCCAACTATCACCATCATCAACAAGATCCTGAATTTTCTACTGTTTGTGTTGCTACAGGACCAGATAGCAAAGACTAGTGTTGATTAAAATGCCCACATGTCCTCCCTCCTGGGGTTAAGATCAGAGAACAACAACAAAAAAGAACATCATGGGAACATCACCTTGGGTTCATTAGCATAAATTAGAAAATAGCATTAGAGACAATCAGTTAGAATGGATCTTAGAGATGTTGTCCAGGTGTAGTCTTTGTTCACTTTATGGGTGAAATGATTAAGGTCCAGAAAGGAGGCCTGGGCCTGTAGCTCAGTGGTAGAGAGCTTGCCTACATATGTGAGGCACTGGATTCGATCATCAGCACCACATAAATAAATAAAATAAAGGCATTGTGTTTAAAAAAAAAAAAGGTCCAGAAAGGGCAAATGAATTATTTACAGTCATTGAATTCAAATAGAAATGCAAATTTTCAATATGGGTTGAAATTGAAATTAAAAAACTGAAATGACCCAGAACTTTCTGAAATGCAATTCCCTTTTTGGAAACCAGTGTTCCACATACTTTCTTGGATGTAGTGACCTCTGTCAGACATGAGCAATCTGAAAAGGAAACTGTGTCCTATGGGGGAAAAGCACCAGGAAAGTGAATTAAGATCTCAACATTACCCACAGCTCTCTGGTGTTTTCCTTCCCTTCTACCTGCCACTAATACTATAACCCCATATCCAAACCTCATTCTTACACCTGTTCTTCCTCACTCCTTCAGCCAGCTAGTTCCCTCTGCCAACACCTGAACCTGAAGAAAACTCTTTGCCAATCAGTGGCTCCATAGTACTCCAACATCTGACCTTATTGCTTTTTCCATACCCCCAGATCTCTTAAATTAGACTCCTTTAAGGATAGAATTTAGGTAAGTTTCCTAAGCTGCAACTCACCATAAGCCACATTTCACCCGATTGTGAAGACTTTGATGCACACACACACACACACACACACACTGTGTGTGTGTGTGTCTGTGTGTGTGTTTACTGAAGATTGAACCCAGGGATGTTTTACTGCTGAGCTACATCCCCAGTTCATTTTTTTTTTATTATTTTTTATTTTTGAGACAGAGTTTCACTAAGTTGCTGAGGGTCTTGCTAAGTTGCTGAGGCTGGCCTCAAACTTGCAATTCTTCTGCCACAGCCTCCTGAGTCACTGGGATTATAGGCATGTGCCACCATGCCCAGATTCAATGCTAGCACTAGCACTTTCTTGATCTTAGAATGTCCACAGAGTCACAACCACCTACATCCCAGCTGAATGCAATGGAAGGAGGCTTTCTAATATAAGATGCTTCCCGATTTCAGAGATGTGAGGAAAAATGTGAAATGTGAGGGGAAATAACACCCAGAATGGAAAAACTAAGACAAAGAAGACCCCTTTTCTCACAGTTCTTCCTTCCTCATCTTACTTTTCCCATTCAATTTCTTCTTCCATGCTGCCTATCAGCATGGACCCATCCACACCTGCTGGCTTTTGCTACCTTCTGTATGACCAGGTGCTGCCCCCTCCCGTCTTCAGGCAGAGCCAACTTCTTTCCTCTTCCAGGCTGTTACCCTGGGGATGGGGAGGAGTTGATATATTATACTTTTGATGTCAGGCCTTGTAACTGTTACCTTACTCCTACAGAATTTCCTTTGATTCTTTAGACATGTTTTAGTCAAATGTACCTACTCTCCAAATTCTTTTTTTAAAAAAATACTTAATTTTTAGTCTTAGTTGGACAAAATACCTTTATTTTATTTATTTATTTTTTTATGTGGTGCTGAGGATGAACCCAGGGCCTCACATGAGCTAGGCGAAGTGCTCTACTGCTGAGCCACAATTCCAGCCCTACTCTCTAGGTTCTTAACATGGCAGAAACATTCAATTTCTTTTTTCAAGAACAAAAGAGAGGTGGCTGTGGATGTGGCTCAGTGGTTAAGCACCCCTGGATTCAACCTCCCCGTGTAATAGTTTGGAAATGACGTGTCCCCCAAAAGCTCACGCGTGAGACAATGCAAGAAGGTTTGGAGGAGAAATTAATGGGTTATATCCTAATGGAATTAACTGAGTGGTAACTGGAGGCAGGTAGGGTGTGACTGGTGGGAGTGGTTCATTGGGGAGCATGACTATGGGGTATATATTTTGTATCTGGAGTGTGGAGTCTTTCTCTCTCTCTGCTTTCTGATTACGATGTGAGCTGCATCTTCTACCATGATATTCAGCCTCACCTTGAGCCCTGAGGAACAGACCTGGCTGTCTGTGGACTGAGACTTCTGAAACCGTAAGCCTCCAAAAAAACTTTTCCTCCTCTACAATTGTAATTGTTCTGGTGAGATCTTTTAGTCATAGTGGCAAAAAAAAAAAAAAAAAAAAAAAAAACCTGACTAAAACACACCAAAAAATAGCAAAAGGGAAAATTAGAAGGATTTTTATAATTATATAAAGAGTACCTTCTCCAGGATGCGAAGAGAGACATGAATGTTTTCTAGGGAAAGAAAAGAAAATTTGCTGCTTTACTTACAAGGAGGAGAGTTAGAACTGAAATGGAAGTGGGGTGGGGAAAGCAAAAGAGCTGACGGCCACTCACCCCGTGCTGGCCCTCTCCTGCCTGCCCTTCACAAAATCTCCACTGACTAATGTGAAGTGCCTGAGGCAGGTAACTTTTCGTTGAAGAGCAGAGATCTATTCTGTATCTTGATTTACACAGGCAGGACCGAGTGAAGGAGCCTGGAAGTCGGGGTGTAGAAAGCTCAGGAGTGTGGAAAGAGAAAGAAGCAAAAAGGACACTTCCAGGAGCTCCCTGAAATATGGAGGGAAGAAGCGGGGAAGCTGTGCTCTCTTGGACACTTATGAAGTAGGGGTTCAGGACATGTTTAAATTCCCAAGGAAGCCCAAGGCCCCTGCTAACATATGGGAAGGATTCTGTTTAAGGAAGCTGACGTTTGTTTTACTGTTTTCATCCGAACTTCAAGTTTAAATAAACACTTTCATAATGTTTATCAGG